TCCGGTTGCCCAACCCAGACGTTGCCGAAAACAATTCCAATTTTCTGCTCAAATACCGCGCGTGCTTCTCGTCAATGAAACCCTTCTCGATTTTCTTGTCCATAATCGTGGGAATCACGTCGATTGTTCTCTTCAGACAAGACTTACGCGACATTGCACTCGTTACCGTCGAGACTTTCTTCAATCTGACGTCTGCCGCATCCAGAAGAGGAAACCAGGCCCCAGAGCCACATTTAGACCATCACCTGTACGCGAGCGATATGTCCATTCCTCGTGCAATTCGCAAGGTCTTTCTGGCCGTTGAGCAAGCAGAAGGTGCCGGGGCTCGTGTCCGCCGCTCTATCGGGACTCCCCAGCTACAGAAATTCTCCCCATTTTTGATGCTTGGTGAGTAGGGTTTCCGCAACATCTCGTCCCCCCCCCCCCCCAAAAAAAAAANCCCCCCCCCCCCCCAAAAAAAAAGGACAAAAAAAAAGACACATTGCTTATTGAAAGACCATTTTCGTATCTCCCCAGGGGCGGGCTTCCCCGACCACCCTCACAGAGGCCAGGAAACCATCACCTACCTGCTCCATGGCGGAGTCGACCACGAGGATTTTGCCGGCAATAAGGGCACCATTGAGACGGGCGACCTGCAATTCATGACAGCGGGTCGAGGCATAATGCATGCCGAGATGCCCAAACAGAACCCGGATGGCAGCGCCAATGTCGGCCTCCAGCTTTGGGTTGACCTGCCCAAGCATCTGAAGTCTTGCGAGCCGCGCTACCGCGACCTGCGCGCCAAAGAGATTCCCACCGTCGACGTCGATGACGGCAAGGTCCACATCAAGATCATCTCCGGCCAGAGTCACGGCGTCGACTCGGTGCGCGATCTCGCCTACACGCCGGTCTGGATTCTGGACATCAACATCAAGCCTGGTGGCAAAGTCGCACAGCCTCTGCCCAAGGGCTGGAATGCCTTCGCGTACACGCTCGACGGACAGAGCATTTTCGGAACAGGAGCTCAGAAGCGTGTGGTCGACCAGTTCCACAATGTCGTGTTTGAGCTAGACGGGGAAGTGATTAATGTTGAGGTTGATGCGAGCGCAGAGAGGGACGCTCGCCTTGTGCTCATCGCTGGTACACCCCTTGATCAGGAGGTTGTTCAGTACGGACCATTTGTCCTCAGCTCCAAGGCCGAGGTTTACCAGGCCTTGATGGACTATCAGACTCATTCCAATGGATTCGAGCGAGCCGAGGGCTGGCAGAGTGAGATTGGAAAGTCAATGATAGAGTAACTAATCTTTCGGGTCCGTTTCCAGATTTTTGGTCGGATATTTCTCCGTCTAGTCATGGTCAATTGGTTTCTAGACGACATGAAATGATGATCTAGCAGATCGCAAGATAGATGCAAGACAAACATTCAGCAAGGCTTAATTGCATGATTAGGTGAGTTCGACGACGACGAGAGTCTAGCTTCATGTGCACGGACCCTTATGCTTGTTCTGTCCGGTAGGTAGGTACTCTGTACACCTTACCTTACGTACCTCTAGGCCCAAGCACCTACGAACACTTAGGTACCTAGGGAGCGGAGTACCTGGAGCGTACTGACCCGGCCCACTTCCGCTGCGCAGCTGCGTACACTATTCGTACAAGGTAAGGTAGCTCTCGCTCTCTTCCCCCCTTCCTACCTTAGGTGGCATCCATGTATGTACACGAAACCCAAGCTGCGGCGCGCAATGCCGTGATTTTCATACCCTACCGTCACCACGATACGACCATGGGAGCAGCATAAACACCCGAGCCTCTTTCATCCGACTGCACGAACGATTGACTATCTGACCGATCGATTTACGACTTTCAAAAGCCCCTATTGACCTGCCAACCTCAGTCAACTACCGAAAAAGTGCACTATGGATGCGCCCGTACCAAAGCTCGCGGAGCTCCTCCGTCATCCCGATGACCTCGACAAGATCGCCGGCCTGAAGCAGGAATTTTCTCGAAAGAAGGCTGCTGTCGACTCACAACTCCGTGGCGGCCTTCGCGAGCAGCTGGAGACGACACAGTCAGGCATGACTGGCCTCACGGACGGGCAGAAGACGGTGCAGCAGATCAAGGAGGAGATGATCAAGATCGACCGCCTGTGTTCAGAGTCGCAGAACATGATCAAGGATTTCGCCAGCATCAACTTGGTGTCTCAGGCACATCGCAATTTCGGCGCTGTCGAGGCGATGCGCAAGAACCTGGAGACTTTCAACGAGCGCCTAGAGATCGTCGAGCGAATGTTGAGCGAAGATGAGAGCGACAAGGAGAACATGCCGAACCTCTTGCCGATACACTACGAGCTGACACAGCTGAGGAATATTCGAGATGATGCCATGGAGCAGATCCAAAGAGCGGAGGACCCAAGTCTGGAGTCAACACTCGAGGACTACTTTCAGAGACTGGATACCATGATCGACTGGTTTGACGAGCATATCGGTATTCTAGCTCTGAACCTTATTAATCTGGTCGTTAATGACAACAATGGCCTGGTGGTACGTTTTGCTGTCGTGATTGAGGCGGAAGAGAAGAGCGATCAACGAGTGCTGGCACTGCAAGAAGCGTTGAGAGACCACAAGGAGATGGCGACAAGGTTCCAGAGTATAACCGACGGTGCAAAAAAGGTGCGAGGTTACAAGGACAAATTCACACAAGCCATCAAGATCAGTGTCGAGGGACAGTTCGCGGAGGCAAGAGGCGAATTCTTGGACGACCCTTCGGCACTGGATAAAACTCTCAAATGGTACTTCAACGACCTCAACGCCGTTAAAATGGGCATGACCCCCTTGATGCCTAAGAAATGGAAGATTCTCAAGACCTATGGGGACATTTACCACCAAACTATGCACGACTTCTTGGTGGGAATGATCGATGACCCAGACTCTAGTTCTGCCAATACGTTGGAGATCATCAACTGGCCCGAAAAGTACTATAAAAAGATGAAGAAGCTGGGATTCAAGCAGGAGGACCTAGCGCCTCATGTCATCGACTCGAGAGAAACGGAACTGGTGCGCGACTTCCGCCAGCTCATCATCAGGTTCCTGGATGAATGGATCGAGCGGATATTCAATGCAGAGCTTAAGGACTTTGCCGAGCGCAATGTTGAAGGTTCTAACCTGGATCAGGATGAGTATGGCTACTTCCGAACCAAGAACCTTGTCGACATGTGGCGCATGCTGCGTGAGCAGATTGATGCTGCTGCCAACTCAAAGCGTATGGATGTTATCGAGGGAGTCATCGACGCCATGTTTCTGCGATTACGTGGCAGGCAGCAGTCGTGGCAGAAGATGCTCGACGAAGAGGCCATCAGATACGAGACTGGGAAGATGCCTGAGCTCGAAGGATTCCAGCCGCTTCAAGATTGGCTTGTGGCCACGGCAAACGACCAGATTGCCTGCGTTGACGACAATGAGGAAGAAGGCAGGCTAGCGTACCTGTCTAATTTCAAGCAAAAGTTCGAGCCCCTCGTATCGCCGGCGTACATGGAGCGCGCCGAGGGCGAAGTTGAGCTGCTACGGGATGGCTATGTGGATTTCAGCACGTGGTGCATCACCAAGTTTGTTCAGCTGATTTTCTCCGTCGACTTCAAGTTGGTCATGCCCGACTTCTTCACGCCCAAGTGGTACACAAGCACAGCCATGAAACAGATGGTGGTAACGTTTGAGGAATACGTCAACGACTATAGCCAAGTTCTGCACCACTCTCTTGTCGACATCTTCACAGAAATCTTCGCCGACGAGTTGCTCGTCCGCTACCTGACTTCAGTTCGCAACAAAGGAGCCAAATTTCGCCGCACCGATCCCTTCCAGGACAAGCTGTTCAACGACATTTCGACGGCATTCGAGTACTTTGGTGCCCTTCCTAACCCGGACGTCGGCAACTCCGTCAAGCAGACGTGGCGTGTCACCGAGTACTTTCTGCAACTGCTTACCGTCGAGAAGGATGCGCTCCCAGACACCTTTGAGGGCTTCAAGATGGCTTACTGGGATTTGCAGATGACGTGGGTGGAGGCAGCGCTGCGGTCGCGCGATGACTTTGAAAGGAGCATGCTCAACGCCGTCAAGGCACGAGCGGCGCAAATTGATGTGGTCAGGGGCCCAGAGACAATCATGAGCAAGGTCAAGTGATCAAACCATGCCGGTGGCACGTAGGATTATTGTCAGGCAGACAGAGCTGCGCTGAGGCGGCCGGGCAGGCTGATGAAAAGAGCGAAAAGGGGGTGATACTGGGGATTCAGATCCTCGAGAGATGACAATGGAGCTGCTCAACGAGGGTTGGGTAAGACGATAATGACAATCAAGACAACTACTGGATTTGGCGAAGACGACGATCCAGAGTACGGCTGCTGGAGGTATTGGATGGGAAAATATGAGGTGGTTAGATGATGCCTTTGCTTGCTGATGTACGGACATTCCGAAATGCCGCACGTTCCCCCTTTACAAGAGCCAACATGGGGCGAAGAATACGGCCTTCACAGGGCCATAAGTGATTGTAGCGAAGCTGAGATTCTCTGAGTAGTGCCTCAACACTGACCTAAAGCTGCTGGCCTCAGTAGACTCTCTGATCTCACATGTAAATTGGTCCACCATACCCAGACACATGCATGCTCGAGCTACGAGCAATTCACACATGGAACCTACCAGTCTTCAATATCATTTGTTTTGCGTCCAGACTCGTGATGATAACACGCAAGCTTAGGACAAAATCAAGAGGGCCGAGCTTTGTGAGCTTTGAGTCAACCATGTATATCCTACATACATACATATTAGGTGCCGAGGTCCGACGTGCTCCGATCGTGAGACGCGAGGGACATGGCGGGAATGGAAGGTTAAGAACTTCCGAACACGAAGGTATCTCTGGTACACAAAGTGAAAAGGGGGGAGAAATATAATGCCTGCTATTGTCGATTTAATGCCACTTTGCGTCCCATGAGGAAATCCAGTTGTGCTTTTTGTGCCATCAACACTTGTAGACTAGGTTTATGATTGGCTGGCAAGGAAGTTGGCGGCCTGTTAGAGAGTTAGCAACCGAAAGCGTAAAACGAGTTTCTTTGACTAGAACATACCCTCTCCAGATTGTAGTCATACTTCTCGAGTGCGAGAAGGGAATCTTCTCTTGAGTAGCCCATGCTCGTGAGGTTCTTCAAGATGGGGTCGTCATGCTCCCCATCTCTGGTCAAAGCACGGCCAGGTGTAGGTCGGGAGTCTGAAGTCGCAGGAGGGATTTCTGCACCCTTGTCTGCGTTGGCGGCACTGGGAGAGTCCAGGCCAGCAAAAATGGCATCCCAGTCCTGCGCATCTGGCACCGTTGCACTCTTCGTGCCCGCACCGTTAGTGCTGCCAGGGGCAGGGTTAGGGGACACAGCGCCAAAGTCGTAACTACTTTCGTGCCCGAAAGCAGTGGGTTCTGTCTTGACCTGGCTTGGAGGGGGGCTGCTGTCGAAGACAGGGTTGAAGTCATCGAGACCAGATCTGGAGATTGTCTGGAAGTCATCATCGGCAGAGCCTTCCTTGGCATCCTCGAGACCCTCGAAATCATCATCGAGGTCATCAAAGGAGGACTGCGGCTTCGGTGCGGAGGCGGCAGGAGCAGTCGTCTCAACAGCTTCAGCTTCCGATGTCGCCGGGGCCTCCGGGGTTGTAGACATAGCAACAGGGGCGGCTTGGGGCTCAGCAGACGATGCAGTGGGCGCAGAGCTTTCAACCGTGGGAGCAGGAGCAACAGCAGTAGCCGTCGGTGGGGGGGACGTGGCACCCTTAGGATCATCGACCTTTTTGGCTTGAGGAGACGCTGGTGCGAAGTCATCGTCGAAACCGCCACGCTCGCTTGCACTTTCAGATTCGTCATCGTCGCGGTCAAGCTCAGAAATTGGAGGGAATTCAGAATCGAATGCCGAAAAAGATTTGGCGCCGTCAGCACCAGGCTTGTCTGAGCTCTTGTGCGCGTTTGTGAAGCTTGCAAAAGCGTTATCGAAGTCAGCCTTGGCCTTGTCCTGATCCATTGCCGCAAATGGGTCTGGGTTCGATGCGTCGACTGCTCCGACTTCAGTTCCAGCTGTCGCGCCCTCGCCTGACGGCTGCGCACCACCTTGAGCCGCAGGCTCCTGCGGCTCAGCGTTGCTTGCGGTAGAAGTCGAGGCGGTGCTCTGTCCCGTGGTTGTAGGCTCGATGGGGAATGCCCCGGGCAATGAGGTCGCAGTGGGAGTGTCTCCAGACCCATCAGCACGAGAGGCAGGGGGTGACACGGCCCGAGAAGACGTAAGGGATTCGGAGGCCTCCGGGAACGGAAGGAAGCTCGAGCTAATCTGTCGTGATTCAGGCGGGGCGGGAGGTTCACTTGCGAGAGTAGCCTGGCGGCTGGCAATGGGTGATGTGGGGACAGGGGGATTTGAGTACGAGCCCAAGCTAGCAGTCGATGCCCCTGTGTGCTGGGGCTTGAACGATGGAGCAGGTGGTGGTGTGCTTGTCGATGTGGGAGGAGGGAACGCCGGGCCAAAGACATCGTCAAAAGACTTATCGCCGCTGAATGGCTTGGCTGGCGGCGGCGAGGTGAATGTACCCATAATGTCAGTACTTCCTGTTCTACGGAAGAAGGGATTGTTTCCGCTCGCGGTCGAGGGCGCAGGGCTTGCGACTTGAGCAGACGTTGCCACTGGGGAGCTGGTGTTGATTTGTCGAGACAAGTCCTCGTTGCTCCTGGAAAGATCAGCGACTTCTGACTGAAGCTTATCACGCTCACCCTCGTTCGTAACCAGTTGTTTCTTGTTTATAGCGACGAGTCCTTTTTGCTGTCGGGCGTCAGATTTGAGCTTCTCAATCTGAGGCTTCAACTGGGCGATCTCGGCGTTGACGGCGCGGATCTTCTCCTTGAGATTGGCGTTCTCTTGCTGGTCAGCCTGGAATCCAGCCAAAACTTGCTGGTGCTGGTTCTGCAGGTCTCTGTAAGTCCCGTCCAGCGTCATACACTCGGCTTGGAGCTTCTTTGTTTCGTTTCTCGACGTGTTCAGCTGCACCTGCAACGCCTCCACGTCCTTTGCTTCTTTCTCGTACATTGTGCGAAGTTGAGCCAGCCGTTGCTCGAAATTCTTCTTCTGCGAATTGGCTTGGTTGAGATCATTCTGTGTGGAGGTACGCTGGCCCTGAACCTCCTGCATCTGCTTAGAAAGCGAGCCGACCTGATTTGACAGATTCGCCAATTCAGCAGTCTCGTTCGTAAGCTTTTTGCTGACTTCAGGGTCACCATCGCCGAGAAGGTCCTCAGCTGCGGACACAGCGGAGGGCTTGCCAGAATTCGAATCTCCTGTAGGCTGCGCTGTGAGGCCGCGGCCAAAAGAAGAGGACGGCACAAAAGGCTTGAACTGGTTGCCGGTGGGAGAGGGCCGGATGGGGGAAGATGGGGCCAGAACTGCCGAACCAGACCCAAATGGGTCATTAGCTGTTGATCCGCCGGTTGAAAGGGCGACTTGAGCGGGTGCCGGAGCGGGCGGGGTGTCTAGGCCAAACAAGTCATCAAGGGCAGATTTCGGAGGAGCCGAGGCCGGGGCCGGGGCCGGTGGTTGGGGCTGGACCTGAGGCGGCGCGTCAAATGGTGAGCCTGACGTTGTAGGTCGCGGCTGGGTTCGGAAGCTGGGAGGAATCAAGTTAGGAGGAAGCGCTGTTGGCAGAGCAGTCGAGCCATCTCGTCTGCTCCTTTGCTGGCGGATCAGATACATCGCAACTGCAAAGGTATCCCGGTTCAGTCGACCCTCTGAGTTGATGTCTGAGAGATCCCAGATCTGGGCCAGAGCATCCTCTGGGAGATTGGATTGGCTTAGAAAGGGGACAGCCTCTTCGCCGGTGATGAAGCCCTTTTGGGACTTGTCAAGGTCATTGTAAAGCGCGTCAAACCGGGCCTTGTCAGCCGCAGTGATCAGCCAGTCGCTTCCCGGTGTACCAGTCGTCTGGGCGGTAATCGGTGGGCGTCCAAGAGGACTGCCTGCGCGAAACTGGGCCGAACCACTCATTTGCCGGGGGATTGCAGATATTGGTCCGGTGCCCGTAGGCGACTGACGAGGCGCGACAGGTCCACGGCGGGTCGCAGCTTCGTAGAGGGCGGCGGGAAGAATATTGGGAAGACCTCTTAGCGCGCCGGTCTTCATAGACGTAAGCAAATGCATAGCAATTACAAATTCTGTCAAGACCAAGGCCCCGCGCTGCTCGGTATCGGCCAACTGCCATATTCTACCCAGCACCTCGTTCGGCAGGCCCGACTTTTCAAAGATAGATTTGGCCTGGTCACCAGGAAGCAGGTTGCCAGCTTGAAGCGGCTGACGCTCGAACAAGCCGGCATACTGGTTGACCTTCTCAGGGGTCAAAGGAGGAATTCGGATGGGGCCTCCTCCGGTGCTTTGCGCCTGAAGAGCAGCGGCAGGGGGAGGAGTCGGAGATGCAAGAGAACCTGCGGGAGGGGGCAAGCCATCGAAGCGCGGTAGTGGTCCCTGCTGTAGGGCCAACTCTGGCGTCGGTTCTCGTCCAGCCTGGGCGTGACCAATGAGCCGCAGCACCAGACCGAAGCCGGCAGGGGTCAGGAAGCCTCGGTTCTCCTTGTCTGCTATCTGCCATATCTATCGTATGTGTCGTTAGCGACTTGCGCTGGATTCGGGCAGTAGCGAGCAGCAAGTATCAATCGGCCCTCACCTCTCCCAGTATTCTCGAATCGAGTCTTGTCTTCTCGAAGAACTTCACTGCCGTCTCTCCGGTGACAACACCGACGCTGTCCGAGTCGGCCTGCCGAAAGAGTTGACCGTACAGGCGCTTCTCTTCGGCGTTGAGGTTTAAATTCGGCACAGCTGTGAGACAATTGTCGTCAGCATCTAGCTATCAGTCATTGCCGCGCGACGCGCTGTCACCATCGAAATAGTTCACTTACCCGCATCGACGCTGTCAGCAGACATGATGGCGGCGTGGAATTCCTGCTTCGGGGGTGGTACTAGCAATCAAGACGGGCTGTTTCCAAGTGTATCTAGAGGTGAAGTTGTTCGTTGGTTCGGTACGGCGGCCTCCGGGGGGCTGGGGTGAAAGAAGCGTAAGTCTGACGATCGGGAAACTGAAGGTTAGATTTCACAGCAAGTAAAGTGTTGCTATCGAAAGGGATGGACGGCAGGATCATACCTTGTACACAAATGATGGCCCGGACAGCCCTTTAGTTCCAAAGGATCAGCCTTGGAAGGAGAGGAGGTGGCTTGTGTTGATGCTGTTCGTGGACTGGGGACTGTGGACCGTGGACTGGCTGGGGGGTTCAGGTTGGTTCAAAGGTCGTCGGACTGGTAACTGGCAGGCCGAGCCACCTACCTTACGGATGCACAAGCAAGTACGTACCCCGGTGAAGGTGTAATGAGCACACACATATGCCCCATAATAAAGCTCGGGCATTACACGTTGCAGCTCTGAGTCCAGTGTAGTGCGAGTGTAGGTAGGTAGCTGACACAGAAGCACCTACACTGAGGTATCTGCACCTGAGGTTGCTTGAACATCCGAAAGGCCCGCTCCGCTCTTCAGTTTCATTTCATTGAACGGGCGAATCCATCCACCAGTTAAGAAATTACATCTGCCTGAAGAGACTCACTCTGCATACCTTGCAGTGTGCAGCTTTGTCTTTGTATACACATGCAAGTGGCACACCACACGCATGCACAATGCACATCTGCGAAAGGATGCTGACTGAGACCAGGTGTCACTTAGCCTGAGGAACACAGTTGATTTATCCTCGGTAGCATTAAAGTTGGCTATTCTTTTTCTCACTCTAACAACTGAAGTAAACACGCCACTGGCTCAACGGACTGATCAAGTGCAAAGACCCATGGCAATAGAGCCTGCACCCTGAGAAGAATGGAGGGCGACTTCTTCCGCATCCAAACACCGAGATATACACATCTTAATACTCTGCCTCAAGGCCCTCCTCACCTTCAAGAGAGTCGGCCGCAACCTCCTCATAATCACGCTCGAGGGCAGCAAGATCCTCACGAGCCTCAGAGAACTCGCCCTCCTCCATACCTTCACCAACGTACCAGTGGACGAAGGCACGCTTGGAGTACATGAGATCGAACTTGGTCGACAGGGCGGACCAGGCCTCTGCAATCGCGGTTGTGTTGGAGAGCATGCAGCTATTCGCATTGTGAGTAGACTGTCATAGCACTAGGCATGGAGGGATGAGGATGTGACTTACACAGCGCGGCTGACCTTGGCGAGGTCACCGTTGGGCACCATCTGAGGAGCCTGGTAGCAGATACCAAGTTTGAAACCAGTGGGGCACCAGTCAACGAACTGGATGGTACGCTTGGTCTTGAGGGTAGCGACAGCTGCGTGGGCATCGTTGGGGACGACATCTCCACGGTAGAGCAAGCAAGTCGCCATGTACTTGCCATGACGGGGGTCGCACTTGACCATCTGGTTGTTGGGCTCGAAGCAAGACATGGTCATCTCCTGGACAGAGTTGGCCTCGTGGGCGGCCTTGGCGGCAGAGATCATGGGCGCGTAAGCGACCAGCGGGAAGTGGATGCGAGGGTAGGGCACAAGGTTGGTCTGGAACTCGTTCAAGTCGACGTTCAGGGAGCCATCGAACCGGAGGGAAGCGGTAATGGACGAGACAACTAAGTAAAAGTCAGATGCCAGCTCGCATATTGCACGATCGTATCTGAAGGCTTACCCTGGGCAATCAAGCGGTTGAGGTTCTCGTAGTTGGGGCGCTCAAGACCCAGGTTGCGACGGCAAATGTCGTAGATGGCCTCGTTGTCGACCATGAAGGAGCAGTCAGAGTGCTCGAGGGTGGTGTGGGTGGTGAGGATGGAGTTGTAAGGCTCGACGACGGAGGTGGCGGTCTGAGGGGCGGGGTAGACACAGAACTCGAGCTTGCTCTTCTTGCCGTAGTCGACGGACAGACGCTCCATCAGGAGAGCGCCGAAACCAGAGCCAGTACCACCACCGAATGAGTGGAAGACGAGGAAGCCCTGCAGGCCAACGCAGTTGTCGGCGACACGGCGGACCTTGTCGAGAACCTGATCGATAAGCTCCTTGCCAACGGTGTAATGGCCACGAGCGTAGTTGTTGGAGGCATCCTCCTTGCCGGTGATCATGTGCTCGGGGTGGAAGAGGCCGCGGTAGGGGCCGGTGCGGACCTCGTCGACGACGTTGGGCTCAAGATCGCAGTAGATGGCGCGGGGGACATACTTGCCCTGGCCTAGAAGATTTGGTCAGCACTCACAGCGGAGGCGAGAATGATTCAGGACGAAGCATACCAGTCTCGGAGAAGAAGGTGCTGAAGCCATGGTCGGGATCGGCCTGCTTACGCTCCTCGGTCAAGTATCCATCGGGCTGGAAAGGGCATCGGGTTAGCATTCTGTGGACTGGGTAGGAGCGGCGGGTTGCCAACGTACCTGGATACCGTGCTCGAGACAGTAAAGCTGCAGAAGGGATCAAGATCAGCCATCAGACGCATGAAGAAGCAGGTCATCGTTGAGTATGGCCACTGATTGGGCCAGCAGAGCTTCGTACCGCGAGTTGACTCGGCGGCACGGCGGAACGGAATCAGCAAAAGTCCAGACGTACCTCCCAGCAGGAGTTGGCAATCTGGCAACCAGCCTGACCGACTATAGGGAGACAAGTTAGCAAACGATGTGTTTTCAAGGAGCAGAATAAGGATGTTCGTGACAGGAGATATCAGCGATCGGAAGGCAGCTTGCGAAGGAAACGGGAGCGAGGATGCGGTGAAGACAACCGACGCGTGGGGTCAGGGGAGATCATAACAAAAAACAGGCGGCAACTTACCGTTGATGCTAATGACCTCACGCATGATTGCGGTGACGAGAGGAAAATGAGACAAGCGACTGAGAGTAGAGGTAGGGAGCAGGATCAGGAGCGTCGGGAGTGTCGAGCAAGCAAAAGAACAAAAAAAAAAGTTGTTTTTGCAGCTATCACGAGAGGATGTCGACAGGAGGTTGAAAAGATTAGGTTAGGCCTGGGAAGTACAAGGGAAAGAATAATAGGTTGTGCTAGGTGCCGGGCTCGTGCTCCTCGTCTTTGGTGGTGCTGCTGGAGTCCTCGACTGGGTTCCTCAGGTGGTCAAAGTCGGGGTGGGGTGGGAAATTTGGTGCGCAACAGGGGCCGTGCTACAGTTTTTGTTGATATGAGCCTCCCCGAATTGGTAAGCGCGTCTGTCCACGTCTCTCTCAGACAACCGTCCAAAGGACGACTGGCCAATGGCCGCATCGAGTCGCGGCCGTCCCGGGGCGTGGGGCCTTGCCTATAGGTTGGCCCATGGTGGAGATCTTCTGGCAGGTACAGGCCAGTCAGTGATAGGATTGACAGGTGAGCAAGGACCCTGGGCCGAAGTCCAGTACACCGCACTTCGCTGGGAAAGGCGACCGCCGGTGACAATTCCTCCGTTGTTTTCAACCTTCAGGTGCCCAAGGTAGCTTGACTGCGCACAGCTGCCTCGTCTTAGATGAAGTGCCTTACAAAAACATAAGTGGTTTAACGCGTTCCAGATTGCTTACCTGAGTACCTTACTAGGTAAATATCTTACCCTTACCATAGCAGGGACCTAAGGTACCTAGGTAAGGTAGGTAGGTACTTATCTCTGTCTCGGTAGGAGCGAGCTGCGCTGTATAGGTAGAAGCAGAAGCAGCAGTTGTGCGAGCATAAACGTGACAGGCGGGACGAGAAAAAGAGAGAGAGAGAGAGAGGGAGGGAGAGGGAGTCCACGCCCTCTCCCTGCTGCTCCGAGTCCTCTGTAGGTCACGAAGTGCCGCAATAGACGTAGGCATCTCGCATCCATGAGTGTGAGGTACATGTCTGCACCGCGGTCGGCACACGGAACGGACAGTGGAAACGGTCCCATCTATGAACCGTCGCGGCGGCGGGCAGCGGGGACAATAACCACCTCCATGCATCCTTGTCTCCAACACCACATCGAATAGCTTCGAAAGAAAGACTTGCTGTTTACCATCGAACAAGATATATGCCACCTCTCTCCCTGATTTTTGTACCACGGGAATATTCCGACCGCAATCTGCTTCACCTCAGACCACAGCCCCCCTTGGGCTCTGTGCCACGCGTGTCACATGCGCCTCTCCCTACAGCATGGCCTTTCCATGGCCATTTTTTTCAACTTCGCTGGTGCGAATACCGAGAAGGTCATTTTCCAAGCGCCAGAGACCATCAATATCCCGAATACATCCCCCAACCTCGGCGACCTCCGCCTAGACATCCTCACACCAGACCACTGGTCCAAGAGGATTGATCTGCCAGCGTCTTTCCCGGCCCCTGCGTCTCCCTTTGGGAGCCCAACCTGGTTGCTACTCAAGAACCTCACACAAGACCAGCGGTATGAGCTGAGAGTGTGCTGGGCGGCTACTGTAAGATACTTCACACCCTGTTCATCATCATCTCAGCATTGACGACCAAGTAGCAACCTACAGCTTTCACACTCGATGTGTTTGAGCTGCCCGTTGTTTGGGATACCCCCGAGCTGATCTCTTCCCTTGCGAAATATGCCTCCTCTCGCATCATGAACCGTGAGGCGGACAGCTCTTCGGCCTCGTACTCAACGCCTTTGGAGCAAGAAACTTCGCTTTTTTTCCTCAGGATCTTGGCTGCGGCGGATTACTACACCGACAACGCCACGCTCATGGCCAATGTTGAACACGTTCACGCCGACCTCATACTCGATCCATTTCTGCTGAACGTTTTGCCGAGGTCACTACTCCCGACCGTCTTCTACATCAATGGGGTGTCCATCATGGCCTGGTTTCTATCTAGGATCATTCTGATTTGGATTCAGCCAGTACTTGCCGCTGAACGCAAGCCTGGGAGGAAGAAAAACATATAAGCACGAGACTACCGCAAGCTATCGCCCTCTCCATGCGTTCATGTCTTGCTCAAAATGAAGGGACTTCTA